CAATGTGCGCTCGCAGCCCAGAAGGCCAGCCGTATCCTGGGCTGCATCAAAAGCAGCGTGGCCAGCAGGGATGGGGATACACTTTTTAGTAGGGCCTGTTGTGATGGGAGAACGGGTAATGGCTTTAAACTTAAAGAGGGTAGATTTATACTGGATATAAGGAAGAAATTTTTTGCACTGAGGGTGGGGACAAGGTTACCCAGAGAGGTGGTAGATGCCCCATCACTGGAAGCATTCAAGGCCAGGTTGGACAGGGCTCTGAACAACCTGATCTAGTTGAAGATGTCCCTGCTCACTGCAGGGGGGGTTGGGCTAGATGACATTTAAAGGTCCCTTCCAACCGAAACTATTGTATGATAAATGGTAAGGCGTTGAATGTTTTGTTTTTCCTTTGTAAATATTATGGTATTTTAAAGGTTGAAGCTAAGCAGCTGAACAAAGAAAATTTTTGATGTAAAGTTCTTTTTCAAAATCCCTAATGAAATAATTATATGTAATAACAGCCTTTTTCAGGTATTACTCAGAGATCCAGAGACAAAAATTAGTTGATCTCTGCTCGTATTACAACCCATCTTTCTGATGAGGTGTGTCTTTAAAGTGAAGTGTGGAGCTTGGAAACTTTCGATCATGACATCATAATTTTTGTAAAAAGAAAATGAGAATAATTTTAAACCTGTATAAATTCCCTATTATAAGAACCTTATCTGGAATATGTCAACCTGAAGTATCTTTGCCTTTTGAAAAGTGTATTGATGCTTTTAGAAGGCAGTTTTTAATTAATTCTTTTCTCCTCACCATTTTCAGATCAAAATTACTAGTTTTTTTGGATGTTGAGAATTTTCTCTAGATTAATTTTCTTTTCTAGCTTTTAGGTTGTATTTTTTACAATTAGAAAAGCTTGGTGCATGGGCAAAAGAGTTCTCACCAAAGTCTGTTATCTCCTACCTCTTGGAATATGTTCACCAAGAGTACTTGTCTCAGTATTGTGAAACTGTGCCAGCAGTTACATAGTTTTGGAGCTAGGTGCCAGGCACATATTTGGCCCACGGACTGCAATGATAGCATTACTGAGCTTGTTTTCCTAGTGTCCTGGGCATTCTAATCCCCTGGAGAACTGCAGTGCAGAGTAGCTGGATGCTCTTCGTCTCACAGCAATATAAAAGGTTTAGTAGACATGAGCAGGGGATGTAATGCCAAGCACAGTGGGTAAAGTGCCCATGTGTGGGCATGTGGAGTGAATGTTCCCATCAAAGCGGAGCGCGGCAGGGCCAGCGCACCGTGTGGGGCTGCTTGCTCGCCCCTCTGCTTCTGTCGCAGAGCATCAACTGCAGGACCTGATGTCACACGCCAAGATTTGCCCTCTGGCCCGCAGTGATGATGGCACAAGGCCCTTCTCTTAGCTGCACTCAGAACAGTGGGATCCTGGTAACTGTTTGTCAAAATGATCTTTCATGTAACCAAACTTTGCTCTGGTGTTGTGTGATTCCAGCCCTGGTGACAGTGTGCTGCTGTGCAGAGCCTTTGCCTGTTGGGTAATGCATGCATGCTCTAGAGGAGATGTTATTTGCGTACATGATCAATCGCTCAGTTCGGGGAAAAAAAGAAAAGGGGAGGGGGAAGGAAGCTTTTAAAGATGCTGTACTTAAAAATATTTAATTTTTTTCTGTTCTGTTGTAAAGGAATGAAGATAATTCAGTGAATGATGAAGTTGTCCCTGTCTCTGTGATTATGTGCTCATGGAGTTCACTTGAAGCTCCCTGGTTATAAATGCTTGGTTATTATGTGCCTCTTGCTTTCAAATAGCAGCGAGGTCTTCATGAAGTGAGCAGCCTTCACCATTGTTACATACTGTCTATGTATGCAGTGTATTACAAAGAGCAGTAAAGATATTTGTCCCTGTAACATTACTGTTTAGTAGTCTATAACCATACTTTGCACTACAGAGAAATAAGTAAAACAGATCATATTTGATTATTAGTATATAATCTTATACTGTTATTTTTCTTTTGTAAATAGCCATGACAAAATATATACCAAGAACTCTCTTAAAATTTTGGTATTTTTCTCATAAAATGGAGAGTACATATTTTTAAAACAAAATTTACTGGGAAAAAAGGCTGAGTGTTTTTTTTTCCCACATCTTTCTCTAGAAAAGCAATTTTCTTTTCACATCTTTTCTCCAGACCTTCAGCAGCTGCTATGCAGTATGGGCTTGTATCTCCATGCTGAATGCAAGGAGGGGATATTTTGTATTTAATCAACAGCAGACAGATTTATCTAGGATTTATTGTTTCATTTTCTTCAAAACTAGTGGTCATTTTTTAGTATGGAAAATGTGCTTCTGTGAAAATCAACCAGGGCATTTGCTGCCAGTCTGAGCAAGCAAGAAGCAATGAGAACAAGAAAAACACAAAGAAAATGGCCTCAAGGGAAAGCACTGCATAATGAACTTGAAATTGCTGCTGCTGGAAATACTGTTGCTGCTTTTCCTGCCAGGGCTGTCACCTCACACAACAATTTTAGCTTAAAGTGGAGAGTGGAGCTTATCAACAGCATCACTAAAGACCAAGGTTTATGCTGCTAGATTTTCCAAACTCTAGAGACCACTATGGTCCGTGGTATGATGGCATTTTTAGAGAGGAAATAGGCCAGAAATAGCCCATGGTTTTGCTAGAAGTTAAGAAAAAAGATAAAGAACAGGAACATCAAAGCCTATGGAAGCCAAGTTTTTAAAAGAGATCTACCCTACACTTAAGTGGGAACTCTTAAGTGAATGGGGAGGCCATGCAACTGAAGTGATAACAATTTGCCTAGAGATAGAGAGATCATCTCCAAGATTTTTAGTTCCAGTTCCCAGCTTCCCTTCCTGCCTGATAAGGAAGTATGAGGAATTTCATTCTAGAGAGAAAAGCAGAGCTGTGGGCTGCCTGAGGTGCTCCTTCCCCAAAGGGACAGTCCCTTGCCATGTTACTTCTTGAAGGTGGTTTCACAGAAGCCTTGGTTAGTGCTGAAGTCATGCCTAAGTGAGAGAAATACAGTGAATGTGAAGAAGTCACAAGAGAAATTACAGTGCACAGTGTTGTCGACTGTTCTTGAAGTTCAGAACATGGATGAAAATTTAGAGGTCTTTTCAATGCAATAACTGCTTATCAGTGTTACTCATCTATCTGAGTGGTTGCTGTAGCTACAGCATAACCCTGAGAATTGGCAGACACGGAATCATGTATTCTACCACGTTCTCTGGCCCAGATGATGTATTTCGTGAACACTTGTATACCTTCAAGTAGGTGTTAACTGGAAATCTATGAAGGTGTACACAGAAATTTCTTTCCTAGTCCCAAATAGAGATTATCAGCCTTAAATTTCAGGATTTATCTTGTTTAAATGCATTAATATAGCCTCCGATATCTTGTCATCCAAATGAATATTTAATTCTTACTTGAATCCTGGGTTTTTATAGGAAATTATCTCATCTATGAGAAGGTAGTCCACAAAATAAACCTCATTAGTATTTGAGAAGTGCAGATTTAGGGTCATTTATTTACATAGGTGCTGGCTGTTGTAAATCATACATGACATTAAGGGGAGTTTGTTTATGGAGTCAGTTTACTGAAAGATCAACAAGGTCAGAGCTGCTCTAGCTCTAATATTTGAAATGAGTCAGGTTTGACATTTCCAGTTGAAAAAGAGCTCAGAATTTAGAACCATGTTAAGAATATACTGGATGGATGATTTTGGGAAGGACAAATTGGATTTCTAAATTGACATGCAGTGATAAAACTAGGAACAGCTTGCTTGGATTCAGAAAAATGACTAATGCAGAGAAAACCTGAACTTATTTGGGAGGAAGGAATCAGAAAAAAAAAAACAGTGCAAGTATCCTGTGCAGACAACAAGAAGGGGACAGCCAGGTATTGGGTGTTTGACTATAAATGTATTGCTAGTACAAAACCACCGTGATAATAAATGAGCTAAAAAATTAATCAGAAGCTAAGAAGTGAAACAAGAAGAAATATTACTTTTAGATCTCACCTCTCACAAACTCTGTTACTGACTGTCGAATGGGTTGTTGCATCGCAGACAGGATATGATTGCCATGGAGATGGTTATGATAACTTTTCCTGCAATTTAGATTTTGCTGGGTTAATATTTCTTTTCCATGCTTCCATTAAAAGAAAGGATTATGTAAATGCTGGTTTATGATGTATGTAATTATATTATATTATTATTTAATATTAAATGAAATATATTTAAGCTTTATGTGGGGTGGGTTTTTTGCCTTGTTCCTATTACACTATATATTGTGAACCAGGGCTAAGGGCCTTCCCTGCAGCTATAGAGGGAAGCTGTAGCAGAACAAGAACATGATCATTACCTGTCAGAGCTTAGGCCAATGCCTGCAGGGTGATAATTCTTGTCTTTCTCCTTCTTCTAATAGTTATGTACACTGAATTTTTATCAAAGGACTGTAAAAATTATTTATATGTGTATACTTTAGAATACTGGAAAACCTGCACTTTGTATTGTTAGGTCTTCAGGTGAAAATTGTTCTTTTCCTTATACTTTACATGCTGTAATTGTATGTCAGAAGGTTTTCTCAGCCTTAGGGGAGAATGGTCCCTGCTTTTAACAGCTGTTAAAGTATCTGTGAGCTAAGAATTTTAATGTATATCATTCTTCAGGAAATCTGTGATCTGAAGTAGTATGACCCTGTTAGACAGAATAAGGAAAAGGTACTTCTAATATCCTCACTTTTTTCATTGCACATTGTATTTCTGTACCCAAACTTGTATAGGTTTATGTTGTCAGAGCTTTCAGATTCTCCAAAAGTTTATGTTGTCAGAGCTTTCAGATTCTCCATTGCAATCCTTCACTGTCAGTTTTAGAATATTCCAGAAGCTTTTTGCCCCAAGACTTAGCCAAGAAGTGCATAAGTATTTCTGTTGTATTAAATGTCATTTGTTGACTGGTTGCAACTCGCATATGCAGTGCAAGGGGTAATGGCGGTCCCTGTGCCAGAGGTAATACAGAAATTATGCCTTCCTGGAATATACCAGGCATGCAAATGATGGTAAAGGGCAAGAGAGAGATCGCCCTTTGTTTCCTCTACCCTGTAGAGCTGTTTATTGTCAGTGGAGCTGGAGAGAAGGGGAAGGAATTGCATTGGGAAACACAATCTCTCCTGGGACTTGCTGAGGTTGAAAAATATTTTCCTTCCATTTCTGAAACATCAGTAGGCTGATTATTGAGATGAGCAGTGCTTGTGCTGAAAGATGGAGGAAGGAGAACAGTGTTATCTGAGCTGCCAGTGCAGAAAGATACAGAACCTGTATTTATTGCCAAATTCCAGAACGATTCTATCAAAGTAAAGCCACACAAGCGTAGGGATGAATGACTGTTGTGCTCAATGGCATATCCCATTCTAAATAGTTCTGAGAGTAGAGAGCACTAGGCCTGTTACAGCCAAAGATTTGTCTTTAGCCAAGTTCTGCATTGTTCTGACCCTTGCACCTACGTACCCACTCTAAGACTATTTTCGTTCAGCTAAGAACTTAAAACACTGCTCCCTGCTATTCTTGAAGCAGAATGTTTTCTTCATCCAGGTCACCATCAAAGACAGGAAATGTAACAACGAAAAATTCTTGCCAGCAGCAAGAAGACAGACTGATGGAAGTGAGGATCTGCTTTCCTATAACTGAATAAGCAGTTCTCCCATTTGCTGACCCGAGCTTCCCTACCAGCTAAAGAGAAGAACCTGTGCTCCTAGATCAGCAGGTTCTGTTCAGAGCTGGAGAGCTGAGCTTGCTGGCACACTTTTTCTTTGTGTTCTTGCAGAAGGTTGAGCACTGTTTATCACAGATACTTCCCTTGTGCTGGATTCTGCTTTTTCCTGGAGTTCGGAAATCTGCAACAATTTTACTGGAATTTATTGCATATGGCAAAAAAACCCCAGTTAAATGCAGAATCTGACTGTGTTCAGGTTGCCTAGTCCTTGGTGCTTCATTATTCTAGAGGAAAGAAGGGAGTTACTGTGACTCACAGGAAAAAATCTTAGTGTTTCAGTTCTCACCTTTATGAAACATGTTAAAATGTTTTTTTGTTTGTTTTTTCATGAGAGCTGTAGGGGTTATTGGGCTGAATTCTCCTTATCATTGTCATAATTTTGATGAACTTGAATTCAAGGTTGAGTTATTTTTCAAATGTGTACTAATCATTTCTTAATTATAGATGAAGGAATTGTACGTCAGTATGCTGAAAATTTGCTTGCATCAAAATAGAAAGAGGATACATGTTAGTTCAGGCATTGAAATTTGTTTCATCTGAAACTTCCACTAGGATCTGAAGCCAGTCTAAAGTAATAAATGATGACTGTTTCTGTGGCAAACTGAATTCTTCTTTTTACACACTTGCCATGACAGCTATTTTTGTTATTTGTGCCACATTATTTATAAGAAGCACTTTCCTCCTCTGTGTGTGTCACAATTTAGTCCAAAGTCATCTGTGTAGATCTACAAATAACTAAGGTCATTAACTGCATTCTTCCTGTTGACAACAAACTCTGCTTGTGAGCCATCGCCCATATTTTTTTTGTAACCTGTGCTATGTTTAGAAATGTTCAGACCTATTGTCATATATAAAAAAGTTTATGATTTCCTGTTAGGTCAAAGGTTTAGAAAAACTGAGGCAATAAATCAGATTTGATGGAAATATTTGTTGTATTTGTGTGTTATTAAGAATTCAGTTTGCTGGTCTTCATTCTTGTTTATCAAAATGTGATGTATCTATCAATAAGCTTTACTGCTTTTCATAAAGAAGAGTGGAAGAGCCTTGCCTTGAAATCCCACAGTGAATCAAAGCTGGAATACAGTAGTCAGTATTTGACCCTTCTGCTCTAGTCTTTTTCCTCATACCTCTCCTACGTGCTATAAAGCTTCGGTATCATAGGTTTAGAAAGATACACACTTAAGGCTTGGTTTTGGCTATTAAGTCTCAATACCAAAATTGTCATGAGGAAATGAAAGGTCATGTTTTGCTGTGCAGGTAAATACGCATCTTAGAGGGGATATTTTACGTTCAGAATCTATAATTTTCTTTTTCAGTTGGTTAACTTTTTTTATTTTTTGCCGCTTGTAATGTGAATGATCTATAGACGTGAGAACTTTATTCATTTTGGTGTAACGAATGTGAAACAGGCCATGCTTAATGTTAAAATATCAGTGGTGACACTTTGTTCAAGCATGAGGAACAAAGCTAAAGCCAGACATGATAAACTTAGCTGGCAAAATATGAATCAAACCCTGTTAAGTACCTCCTGGCAAACAAATCCTCTGATGTGAATAGGAGCTCTGTTGTGATTTTTTTTTTCTTTCTTTATCTCCCCCGCCCCTCCCCCTGGCTGCACCATGGTCCAAAATTTAGAGGTCGACCCTGTGAAGCGCTGAGTGTCAGTGAAAGCCACGTGGGAACTGAAATGTTCAGCATCTTCCAGGATTAGACCTTTACTTTGATCCACATCTTGTGCATTATGTGATCTGTTGTTCTTGAACTGATAGATTTCTTTCTCTTTCCCCTCATCCTGAAAACTAGGTTATATTATGTTGATTCCAATTCCTGGTTATGGAAGTTTCTTCTCTTTTAATGCAAATAAAGTAAAGCAAGCCAAAAGGAAGATTTCCCTCATAAGACGATTAATGTACAGAACTTGGTGCATTCGTGTTGTCTTTTGTGGTGTTTTGGTCTTGCTTCCTTAAGATGAGATAGCCATCTCTGTCATATTAGTGTATTTTACTTGTTGTAATCTGATGTACCATTTCTCTCCCCTTTTTCTCCTTCCCTAAGATTATCGTTGGAGAAACTGCAGTGTTTTGTCTACAGTTAGCTACAAAGGATTTTGAAAACCAAGAAAAAACAATATTAACTGGAGACTGTTGTTATATAAATCCACTGGTGCGCAGAACCATCAGATTCCTCGGTATGAGCAAAATTAATGCTTTCATTTTCTGAATGGTGAGAGTGGTCAATTATGTCTTACTTTTGACGTGGGGAAAATGTTCAGATAACCGTACAACATTTCCTGTGTAGTCTTAACTCAGGTGCAATGAGTTCTCCCCTTTTGGGTAGCAAATGAAGCTTCTTGGAAGTTTGGATAAAAAAATAGTTGCAGAAACAGCAGTAAAAACAGAAAAAATTGGGACCACAAGAGGGAAGAAACAATCAGCAGGCCTGGAGTAGGGTGAGGTGGAGAAGGGAGATGTTCTTATGCCATATCTATAGCTGATAGTTTTCTTTTGGTTATGCGCATACATAGCAGCCAAAGTTGAAGACATTGGGATATAAATGTGTGTTTGAAGTCAAGCCCAGTTTAGGTGCTTTCTTAACCTGGAGATTGTGTTACAGTCTGTAGTAGAAAACTGTACAAAATCCATGCTCCACTGAAGTCAGTTGTAACTCCCCCATTGACTTTACTAGATGTCATCCTTTCTGCTTAGTTCATTGTAAATGTGTCTGGAGGGAGAAGTACAACCACTCAAAATGTCTATTGAATATTCCCAGATGCTGCTTTTAATATGTGCAGGGATGCCATCAGAGGGCTCAGTTCTGTTGTTTGCTTCTCACTCATGGTTGTATCTAAGAGAAACAGCTGGAGGAATGAAGCCTTGGGGCAGCTAATCCTCCCACATGCCCCAGTCGCAGGGGGGTGGAGGGGAAGTGCAGCTGTGTCTGTATTTGCAGTTGGTGTGACAGCTGTGGCTGCCTGATGAGAGTGCGATTGCTCACTGTCGCATTGGAGTGCTAAAAGTCATTAAGAGTGAGACTGTCTTGCATAGGTCCAGAGGAGGTGGGGAGTGGTGAAGAGGAGCTCCTCCCACTCCAGTTCCTCTGTGTGTAATCAGTGCCCACATTTCCTTCCCACTCGGTGGGCCCTCCTTGCTCACAGAAGCAAAAAATAGGTGGGAGGGAGGGAAGGGATGAACAATGGCATCTGTACTGTTCTACCAGTTGACACATCACTACCCATCGTGCTCAAACAAAGTAATGTGGCCACCTATTTTGGGGCAGTGCACACCCTTGGGGCTTGCTGAATGTGCCCTTCTGTGCAACAGCTCAGCTAGGCACAATCTGCTGCTCACCAGCATCTAGCAGCTCAGGGTGACTCAAGGTAAATTAATGTCTGTGTGACACTGCTGACCAGCCAGGATCCCAGAAAGCATCCTCAGGCATGTAGCTTTGCTGAGGAAAAAACCTGACCTCTAGAAATGTACATGTTTCTGTGGCATTGTGTCTGCTGTGGTGTACATCCATTAATGTCCTCATGATGCCTCATGTAGTTGGGAACTGCCAGAACTCACACTATATTCACAGTGAAGTATGGGAAAGGTAAGATGACTTGCCCGTGGAAATACAGAGGGAAATCTGTAGCTCAGGTGGAATTTGAACACGCACCTCCTGGCTTTGCCTCCCAGTCAGGGTGCTGTGTTTGCATTTCTTTTGAGAGCTCATTTTCTGCTTCCAAGAGGATAGAAAGGGACCTCAGAGTAGCAGAAATCTGTTTTAAGTAATCAGATACATGCATTTCCATTCTAATAAACAAGTACACGTGCTTAATGCTTTGCTGGTATGTCTGGTAAAAAACTCTTTAGCATAAGCAGCTCCTCGAAGATACAGCTCTTTGGCTCACTGTGTTGATACTGTGATTAACATGCCATACATAGAGATGTACCCAGCAGCAGGCAGATGAAGACAACTCGTGCATGGCAATATTGAATTATTCATTACTTCAGCTTCTTTATAGCTGCAAGGGAAAAGAAAATGTTTGTCCAGTATGTGTTATGACTTTTCCAGTTACTTCTCTATCAGGGCCTGACTTACTTGGTTCTCAAGAAGATTTATAGGGTGAAGAATTTGCCTCTGTCACTTCTGTTTAGTGAATATGGGCAAAAGTTAGGTGCCAGTATAGCTAGCTACCCTGAACAGTGGCGATTCATGGCTAGCAGGCCTAGGAAAGCAGGCTGCTTGCGCAAGAGGTGAGCATGCTCCTCTGAAGGATGGAGAGAGAGAAGGTGTGCAGGTATGTTGCAGTGTTGCTGCTGTGGTTGTGTAGGAAAGTACCATCTCCAACGTGAGTGAGCCAGGATCTTTAGGGTGCAATACACATGAGGGTTTTTCATGTTCTTAAATGGAAGGAGCTGGTATATTCCTATGATAAATACTATAATATGTTGCCCTGGAGTGAAATTGTCAGAAAATTTAACTCTTTGTTTCCCTTTTTAGGAATTTATGCATTTGGACTGTTTGCCACGGACATCTTTGTAAATGCTGGACAAGTAGTAACAGGGAATCTTGCACCACATTTTCTTGCACTTTGTAAACCCAACTATACAGCACTTGGATGTAAACAGTATACACAATTCATCAGTAGCGTACATGCGTGTACTGGAAATCCAGACCTTATCATGAAAGCAAGAAAGACATTCCCATCCAAAGAAGCAGCACTAAGCGTATATGCAGCTATGTATCTGGCTGTAAGTATATTGTGCTATTTAATGTCACTGTATTTTTTGAGAGCAAATGGCTCCCACTGTGAGGGGAGGAGGGAGGAATGGGGAGAAGATAAGACAACTATTGGCTGGTTTTAGATATGTAAACCTTCTGTGAGTTACTATGAGGCCTTTGGGAATTTGATTCATTGGACTTAATTCTGACAATTACAGGTCTAGCGTTTCTCTGAGCCTTGAAAGCTAAGGCAATGGTGAGAAAGGGCAAGTTGTCCAAAAAGGGTTATAGATTTAGGATAACCAGGTGCTTGGTTTACTGCTTCCCCATTTCCAGAGAATGTGGGAGGAGGCTTTGCTGGGTGGTAAAGAATAAGGGTAGGGTTTGCCCGCGACTGGTGGTGGTTGCTTTCTATGTTCTAACCCAGTACAGATTAATAGAATTGCAAACAGCCAACTGAATACAGATTCTTCAGTGGAGTGAAGCAGAAGAGTGGGCGTGTGTAAGTGTCTGATCTCTGCAGGTTTCCTGAGATCTGTGCATGTCTTTAGGTACCAGAATTGGTATTTATAGGTACCTCAGTGCTCACACAAAGTCAGTTTGGCTCTTATTCTGCAATGGAGTGGGCTACAAGACAGTCCAGCCCTTCTTCCCTCTCTCCTCTCTGATACAGGGAGTGATGAGCAGGGCTGCGATAAAAACTGGTGTTTACTGCCTGGCATCAGAGCTGTTCTAGTTGCTGTTGAGAAGTGTGGGGAGGCATGTGAGAGGCAGAGTGACTAATGAATCTCGCTCAGGTAACTCTGTGCAGTAGTCCCTGGCTTAGTTTAGAGTACACATGGTTCTAGTCTTAAGCAGAGGCTTAAGCTTTACTTAAGCTTTACTTGTTCTTAGTAAAGTTGTCCCAGCACATGCCTATGAGAGTCTTACCTGACCTGTGCTGGTAATCAGTCCTTCGTAGCCCTTTGGATGGGCCCAGGGCTGCCCTCATAGTGCCAGTGAGAAACTAGGCAAAGCTGTGTGTACCTCTGTGATCACTGTGGGAATCGTCCCTTAAATTCTGTCAGTATTTGAACAGTAGCATGCCTGTATGTGTGTCTGTGTATGTATGTGTGCATATATACGCGTGTATATTGTCTACCTAGACTTCAGCAAGGCTTTCGACACAGTCTCCCATAACATCCTCCTAGGGAAGCTGAGGAAGTATGGGCTGGATGAGTGGTCGGTGAGGTGGATTGAGAACTGGCTGAATGGCAGAACTCAGAGGGTTGTCGTCAGCGGCGCTGAGTCTAGTTGGAGGCCTGTAACTAGTGGTGTCCCCCAGGGGTCAGT